CCCCCCCCCATTCCCCAAAGGCATGGTTGGATCTGCTGTTCAGGCATCCAGAGAAAACAGCAGAAAAACAGCAGTCATCAAGCATTAGATACAGAGTGATTCTTGTAATGCAAATCAAGTTCACATTCTTCATGTCGGCATACCAAGGAAAGACTTAATTGCTATAAAATTCTGACCCACAGACTGACACCTAAGTAGATTTTTAAATGAAACAGGCAGATCCAGTATCAATCACATTTTTTGTGCTAGTCCTTTGACCCCAAAGAGTGACTACTTAATCAAATGTTAACAGTATAAGAATAAAGGAAATGACCACTAACCGAAGAATCTCTTTATTATTAAACAAATTCTCCTTGTCAGCACTTTAGGAAATGTATTGCGAACAGTACGGAGAATATGCATACTGATGTTAGGGTGTAATGGGTGAAGGGCTGTGCAGATTTTCATCAGGCATTCATCTTATTAGTAATAACAAATATTAAAGGAAGAGCTTCAACTTTCATGAGATAAAAATGATTTTTCAAAACCAATAATACTAAAAGTATTGATTACTCGAATTATAATTTTTCATTAGTATGTTTGAGGACTACACAAGCACTAGTACTGTATGCTAATCTATGTATCCTGTCTTTCAAAGGAACTGTTAATAGTCCATCGTACAGCTGCATGCTTGATTGCCAAGCCTTTGAAAAGCAGAGAGGCTAAGAGTGACCCTATTATGATACAAACATTGCTGCTTTTCAAATGATATTTAATTTGCTATCATGCTAACTAGATACTGGTCTCTATTACAGCAAGGTCACCTTCAGCCTCACTCCAAATCAAAGGCTTGGCAACTAAGTACACAACTATAAAAATGGCTCATTCACTGTTTTGCCTCCCTTTGGGAACTACTTTATTATGGCAATGAAATTTGCTAGATATCCTCACTACAAAAGAAAAAGTACACAAATGTACTTTTTCAAAAAGACGGGTTTGGCGGGGAGACTGGGGGATCCATTATGTAACTAAAGTATCTCATAGTAAGATATAAAGCCTGCAGTCTTGTTGGTCAGTATTCATTGATTACAGCATGCGTGAGTCATGTCGACAGTTTTGACTAGACTCGAAGGGCAAACATCGTTAAGTCGATCTAATGAAAATTTGATCGATCCGATGATAGAAACAGAGATGTATAGCATTAATGTACACGAAGATGAGCGAACGCCAGTTTTCACTCATGCCCCGGACTGTCTGAGGTCGAATGGTCTACCGACATGTACCTGCGATGAACTGCCAATCTTGGTTACTGCAGAACATTCGCCTCTTATAGCATACCAAAACTACAGCGAAGGGGCCGATGTTAGCTATCTGACAGATATTCATTGTCACGAAAGTAAACCTATTTATTCGAATGCAAGGGCAAGGAAGAAACTGGTCGTAGCAAGCGTGGTTTGCCTGCTTTTCGTGATCGCAGAGGTCGTTGGTGAGTATTATCTTTGGATGGAATTTTGTGTGTAATGTGAGTGGTCAGAATCAGTACTCATGTGTGCACTTGGCTGTTTTTTTCTTTTTGCATAAGTAGCGAGGGAATTTTCTAGATTAAATCTGTTTCCAAGATCTAATCTGCCTCTTGCCCCTGCGGCTCTACACAGTGAGATGCGGATGAGAGACTGTGGGTGATGATTAGAGTATTACGCAATTCCTCGCCATTTCGACTCCTGAGGAATCTTCCTCATTAATAAGTGTGTACATAAACCGAAATGCGCCTGAGAAGAGATAAATCTAAAGTGTTGCTATAGATTGCTGGATAGCGTTTAATATCCTGTGGTATGTGATTTTGCACTAGTATAGGTTCGAACTGAACACAAATTGAAATTTAATCTTTCGGAATTTCATTAATCCAGAGGATATTAGGAGCAGACGAAGGGCTATTAAACGCTCGAAACGTCAGCCATAGAAATTGTCTACGGTGGCCAATTTACCTCATTATCTCAGTGGAAAAAACATTAATTTCGTATCGCTTCGGCCGCCAACATCGAGGGAACAATTATAATTTAATTTGTCAATTTGAGGCTCAAGGCGGAGGAAAATGTTCACGGAAATTATCGTGGCTCAGAGAAATATTAATTACGCAAGAGCTGACGAAAATCAGAAACAACCGAATATCGGGCAATTCTTTAAAAAATAATGAATTCGGCTGCGATATCGATCATGCCATAAATTTGCATTCGTCATCTGTTCAGGCGTAAGTGCGAAAAATTACCTTGCGGTCGCTCAATTAACTTTCATTGATTGTAGGGAAACTCCCAAGTGTATACTCCCCGTCAGGCGTTAAATGTTGCCGGATATACAGATTGTTTCTTGCAAAATTTTTGTTTTGATCATTACAAAAAAATATCAAACTATTTCAGAAGTATCCTTTGGGTAATATTGCATGATATGTGACATCCCTAACTCGATTTTCTAGCAATATGCTTATATTGTTTGACATGTTTCCGTATTATTTCCGACATACGTATTACATATACCATTGTTCTTTACTTAACTAGCGTGAAAACTATATATAAATAAGTGATGATACTGTAATTATAGAATATATAACTCACTCCATATGCCAAAATATATTTTTTAATTACTTCTTCAATGAATTATTATTAAAATAATCATACTGTGCACTTAATCTTCACAATCTCTAGTTTTCTGCTTAGGTGAAAGCAATTTATTATATTTTTTTTGGCTAAACCTTGTTGTAACATGTAGCTATTTTGATATTTACTTTGATCTTTGGTTTAACCCTTTAACTCCCTGATCAAATTTGTCGTTCTCCTAATTGTCAACCATACAATTCTAATAATGTTAGTTCAGAGAATTTAGTATTAGTTCAACTAATTATTCCTAAATAGATTTTTTTTCTTTACTCTCATTACTTATCTGGTTGATATTGTATTGATATTGTTAGGAGAAATTCTGTCTTGGTCACTTATGGGAGTTAAAGGGTAAAAATAGAAAATAGGCCAAGGCTGTGCTCTAGCAGTGCCCGGTCGCCTCAGGCGACTAACATTTGGTCTCGGGTGACTGAAAAAGAAAAGCGGTTGCCCGTCCGGGCGCATAGATTTTGGCTTGTGAAACCGAAACGAAACCAGTCATATAGAAATGGAACGGAACAAAACAAAAAGAAACTCCATCGTGCTCCCCAGCTCCCGTTAGCTGGAAAAGCAAAAGTGCTGAAAGCGCAGTGCAATCAATAGCCTGTGTGATCTGTACATTTAGGTTAAATATTAAGTTAGGTCATGGGTCTTGTTTTGCTTCGGTGGTTTCTCTTCTGGTTTATTAATATAGTACATGGCCCAGGTTTCTTGTCTATTGAATGATGCGATAAAGCGAGCAACTGATTGTAACTAACATTTTATAATTTTACTTGCTAATTTGATGACATTTGCAGAACTGAAAAATATTCGGCAGGACAACAACAAGAATTGTTCACGCTCAAAGTTGTCGCGTGTGTCATGTAATATTGTTTCACATGATTTAGCATGAAAAATTATTTTTTCCTTGCCCCTGAGAAACTGCATGATTTTTGCACAGGCATGTGTTGAAGATCTAATTTTTCTATTGAAGTGGTTGATGCTTATATTTAATTTTTGTGTTTCAACAGTTTCAATAGTGGAGCGCGTGATTAATAAAACAAAACCGTCCTTTATGCAAATTTGTGTTTATTTAATTAGCTTCGTCCGTGGCATGCAAGATGTTTATCAGCACCATATTTGGCGACTTGTTCGCAATTGTAATCATTCGATCAAAATTTATCGATCAATTGATTAATCAATTCGGGCGACCAACCTGGAAGGCTGGGCGACCTACTTATCATGGTTAGGCGCCCGAAGGGCACCCTGAAAATTTTCCTAGAGCACAGCCTTGTAGGCAAAAAAAAGGTTGCAGTTTGTTTGGGGATTCAGTTACATTTATTGAAAGAAGTAATGCAACATAGACTCTTATTTTTCTTTATTGTTGTGATTTGCTTGTTACTGTAGTCTTCCCAAATATAAAACAAATCCTGTTAGATATTTTCTTACAAAGAGGGAAAATTTATAAACTTTATCTCCCTTAAATTTTCCTTCTATTTTAGGATCTTTTTATTTGCGTATTTCACTCCATTTTGGATCACATGCATCCATTTAAATGATGACTTTGCTTTGTGGGGAGAAATCAGGACAGAACTCAAATTTAGGTAGGGTAGGCAGGGTTCTCCTTTATCAGGCGGTAACCGGTAAAATTTATTGAGAACTCAGCTCAGAACCCTTAAAAAATACGCATTTATGGTGAGCCAATCTGGTAACAAAGTGTAATAACAAGCCAACAGTGTGCACTATTATAGATCTATGTGTGCTTTAGTTAGCTAACACTGACTCCTACCTTTTGAATTTCGAAGCAAGAGTGATTTTTGGCAGGCTTTGTGCTAAATCTCTTTACATTTGTCAGTTCTCTGCACATGCAAATTTGGTGTTGTTTAGTTGTTCAGTTTCCACGATGAAACGGCAGCAAACAATGCTGTTGTTTCTGTCCAGTAACGAGGTCATGAAAAGTGGCTGGTAAGCTTTACAAGAATTTTAGGGGTAAACAAAAGCTCTACAATTGCCGGCTGTATAACGAACACATGGGGACAAAGCTAGTCTTCATCATGAAATTCTACTTTCAATGTGTTTCAGACAACGGTTTGAAAGTAGCCTTGAAAATAAAATCCCTTGACAGCGTAAAAGTTCTGAATTTGAGACGATTAGAACACAAATTCAGCTATTCAATGTGATTTGATTTCATAGCAATGTGATTCGTTAGCTGACACCACTGATTTTCCAGCAATATGCCATGTAAGTGATGCCAAAGATATCACCTGAAATCGAAGGGAGACCAGTTTACATTATAAGCAGTTTGGAAAGGGCATAGTCAAATATAATGCTTGTAAACAAAATTTTACTCTGTTTTGTTCAACCTCTGAACCTAAAGGTGTATTGTTCACATTATGAATTTTTTTTGATGGAAAATTTTTGACAGGCATGATGTACTGTATGCTTTAGGAAATGACAGAGTTGAGAATGACCAGCCACCTGTAGCTGCAAATGTGCTTTACTGGTTTGAAAAGGTCCCTTACCTGTTGTGCTGAAAACTAGGGAGAACCCTGGATAGGGTGGAGAGGTGATCTCTAGATTTTCAGAGACATCTGTGAAAATTTGTTACGGTATCCAAACCTGGAGATAAACAGGTTTGGATACCATTACACCTGGATAGACAGGTTTTGGTTTCTTTGCAATGTTAAATAAAACTAATTTTCAGTGACTTATTTCTAATATGTCTGGTGATAAACCATCTGGAATTCTGTCCACAGGTGGTTTGCTTGCTGGCAGTCTTGCCATCATGACAGATGCTGCCCATATGTTATCTGACTTTGCATCATTTTTAATCAGTCTTTTTGCTATCTGGGTTGCTCGGTGGCTTCCAGATAAGAGAAAGACCTTTGGCTATTACAGAGCAGGTAAATAAGATGTGAATTAATTTGTTCTTGACTTTGTAACGCACAGGGGAACCTCAATTCAGGAGATGTCCTTGAGACCAGAGCAAGTGTCCCTTGAGTACAGATATCCCCTGATTAAAGGTTGGGTTAAGGGTTTGTTAATAATTAACCTTGCCATGTTTGTTCAGAGTTGACTCGAGCCAAAATGTCAAATGGTTACTGTCCCTGATGTGTGCCTCTGTCACTTGTGGACTGAAACTACTCTCACAACTGGCAACAAAATTTAAGATGTCATCAAAAGATAACTTGTTATCTTCACACATGAAAAGATCATTGTTGCTATGGTTAAATTTAAAAATAATGCCTTTTGAATTGATTTAGTATTTCATTAGTGTTTATGTGATGAATAGAATATAAATAGAATATTTGTCAGCACAAAGAGAAATTTTCTATCTTGGTGCGGCCATGTAATATGCTTGATATAATTATCGCATGAATTTGTTTTGATTGTTTTCATGTATTCTCTTTTTAGAGGTGCTTGGTGCTCTTGTGTCAGTTCTCATCATTTGGGTATTAACAGGGGTGTTGGTGTACCTTGCTGTGATAAGAGTCCTGTCAAATGATTTTAAAATAAATGCAGATATCATGCTTATTACAGCAGGCATAGGATTAGGAGTGAACATCTTGTAAGTTGGCATCATTTGTTTGTATAAACTTGCACATATATAGATTTGGAAGTCAAGATAATTTTTTCTTCTGCTGTTATTGCCACTTCCTGTGGTAATGGTGGCAACCTTGTTGTTATGACTGGTGACTGCTCTAAGTCTGTTTGTAAAATGTGAGCTCATGCACAGCCAAGTTTGGAAAGCCAACAAATAATGAACTGTTTCTAGACTTACAGTGTCTACTTTATCCTCACAAAATGGCCTTCTGAATCACACATTTTAGTCAAAAGAATAAAGGAAATCATCACCAACTAAAGAAGGTCTTGATTGTTGGACAAATTCTCCTTGTCAGCACCTTAGAAAATGTATTAAAGAACAGTATGAAGAATATAATGTTATACTGATGTTAGGGTCTAAAGGTTAACCCTTACACCTTAACATCAGTATGCATATTCTCCATACTGTTCTCTAAACATTTCCTAAGGTGCTGACAAGGAGAGTTTGTCCAACAATCAAGACCTTCTTTTGTCGCTGATTAGCTCCTTCATTCTCCTGACCTTTTTGTTTGATTCAGGGGTACATGGTTAGGAGAAATTAGATGCCAGTCACTACTAGAGGTTAAAGGGTTAAAATAATTTTTTTTTCTTTTGTATTAGGCTTGGTATTATTCTCCATCAGACAGGTATTGGACATAATCACAGCCATGGTGGTGGAGGTCACTCTCATGACACCAGTCATAGCCATAATGGAAAAGTTGAAACTGTTTCTACCAATCGCATTTCAAGAAGTGGAAGCTTGGCCTCTGAGAAACAAAACATCAATGTACGAGCTGCATTTATTCATGTTTTAGGAGACATTGTTCAGAGTGTGGGAGTCCTTATTGCAGCATACGTCATCAAATATAAGGTAACAATGAAAAGGAATACACCCTCACTAAACATATACTGTTAGTGTAGGTAATAAGATGATTTTGGGTACAATTTGGTGTTAGTAAGTATGAGTAAATTTTGTATGGCAATTGCAATTTGTACTCTTTGAAATGTTTACAAGTGCTCATTTATACCAAATTGCACAAGAAATCATGTCATTACTTATTAATAAATTATATGAAAAAATGATCACAGAAGGTCAAGACAGATGGAATTTTGATAGCATGCATGCACTTTTGCATGCACTTTTGTGATGGCATAGTTTACAGGATTCCCTGTGAATGCAGCAAGGTGTACATCAGAGGGACTGGAAAACCTATGCAAGACAAAATTAAGGAGCATGAC